GTTGGTTGGGAGAGCGACGCTGGTACCGAAAGAAGAAATATACTACTAGTTCTAATGAAGCTCTGTCTCTCTATCTCTTTCCCTCTCGCTCTCTCTCTCTCTCTCTCTCTCTCTTTCGCTTCCTCTCTACCTGCCTATATATATAAATATGTACCTCTGCCTTTCTCTTTTTCTCTCTGTTCCATTCTCTTTCTCGCTCCTTTCTCTATGACTGACTGTCTTTATACATGTAGTATGTCTTTGAAAATAAGTATACCTCCCTCCCTCTCCCTCCCGCCCTCCCTCTCTCACATACACACACACACTCTCTCTCTCTCGCACGATCTTCCTCTCTCTCACCTAAGAGGCTTGTTTATCAAACAACCTCAGCCGTCCGAAAAATCGGAAGATGCGGCGTAAGCCCAATGAACCATAATCAGGAAGGCAGCCAGTCGGAATGAATGTCTTGACATGCGCCGTGACGCCGCAAGATATCTGCCAGCGTGTCCCGAGGCACGGCGCATAATGTCTCGCTGCCCCTTCAAGTCTTCCATATCGAAAGCAGCTACTGCTCTTCCAGGAAATCCCCCCGACGCCAGATTTCCATTGCTCTTGGGCTCTACCATGGAAGCCTCCTAGATAGGTTCTGGAAGGACGGGGTCGGAGCATCGCGCCGCATCGCCGATGCATCGGCGATACATCGCCGAGGCATCGGCGACGTCGGCGTGAAGAACACCAGGCTCCGTGTCGAGACGCAGCGGCGCTGCAGCGGCGACACGGCACGATCCTCCGACCCCCTCCGCTCGGACCCCACCTGGAAGGCCTGGAGTAGAGACCAGACGCGTGCTCGTCCCGGGTCGCGGGCTCCTCGGAGCCTCGGGGGGCGTGGCTCGGGCTCCACGCCTGCACTCTGCCTCATGAGAGCCCCCAGGGGGCGTCCTCGCGGGGGCCTCACTTGGGCCGTCTTCGAACTCCGAGCAGCTGGCCTCGGAGGCCAAACTCATTCAACGGCACATAGGTTCACATGGTTAAACCATGGGAACCTATATATATATATATATATATATATATATATGTGTGCTCATGCGGAGAGGCGAGCATGCGAAAACCAGGTTTTCGCATGCTCGCCTCTCCGATTTTGAGAACCCAGGACGGCCCAGGAGGCCTCCAGGATCGCCTCGAGGCGACCCCCCAAGCCCAGCCTTCCAGAGGGGTCTTCTCCCCCCAGTGGGGGCGGCAAGCCGTGGGCCGAGACGGGAGCCTCGCAGGGGCCCTTTTGGGGGGCCCTCCACGCCGAGATGGCCCCGGGACCGCCTCCATCTCCTCCTCCCCCCTCCTGCTGCTCCTCCTCCTCCTCCCCCTCCTCCTCCTCCTCCTCCCCCTCCCCCTCCCCCCTCCTCCTCCTCCTCCCCCTCCCCTCCTCCTCCTCCCCTCCTCCTCCTCCCCCTCCTCCTCCTCCTCCTCGTCCCGTCGCGGGGCGAGGCGACGGGCGGGGGATGTTCCCCAGAGCCCTCGAGCCTGGAGGTCCCCAGGGTGCCCCCCAGAGGCTCCCCAGGGGCCCGACGCCCCGTCCAGGGGGTCTCCGGAGGCGTCTCAAGAGGCCTCTGGCCACGGACCCGAGCACGATGGCGGAACATAGAATGAGACGGGAGAAAAAGCACAAGCATGATCTCTTTAGGGCGGGCTGTAGGGCTATCAGGGCTATGGGACGAAAGGGCCAGAGGGCTAGAGGGCTACAGGGCTACAGGGCTGTTGGGCTATAGGGCTGTTGAGCTATAGGGCTACAGGGCTGTTGGGCTATAGGGCTATAGGGCTATAGGTCTATAGGGCTATAGGGCTATAGGGCTATAGGACTATTAGGGTTATTAGGGCTATAGGGCTATAGGGCTATAGGGCTATAGGGCTACAGGGCTATAGGGCTATAGAACTATTAGGGCTATTAGGTCTATTGGGCTATAGGGCTATAGGGCTATAGCGCTATAGGGCTATAAGGCTATACGTAAGACTATAGTGCTATAGGGCTACCGGACACCTGGGCACCCGGGCACGGTGCCGCCGAAATTGGCACCAAACCTCACCTAACCATATGAATCCGCTAGGACCCATACAGAGGCAAGCTCTGATTGGGGAACTTACTGTGCGATGGCGCGAGATCTCTGGCTTGTCCGTTGTTCCTCCCCTGATCTTCCCTGACGTCCTCTCTTCCCTTTGCGATTGTCGCATCCTTGGGTGGTCTTGGGGCCCTTTCTTGGGCCCATTTGAACCATCTTGAACCGACTGTCCGCTTCAAAGCGCATGGTCATTTAGACACTGTGATTGTTTTCATCGACATGGCTATTTGCCCGCCTGGCCGCGCTGACATTCTTGGCCGTTTTAACCCGCCTGGCCGTTTTCACCCGCCTGGCCGTTTCAATCCGCCTAGCAAGTTTAACCAGCCTGGCCATCTTGACTCGCCTGGTCGTTTAAAATCGATTGGCCGTTTTGAACCCGCCTGCTTGTTTTAACCCGCCTGGTCATTTCTGCCTGCCTGGCCGTGCTAACTCGCCTGACCGCTTTGACTCGCCTGGCCACTTGAAATCACTTGACCGCTTCAACCCGCCTGGCCATGTCATCCCGCATGTCCATTTAAACCCTCCTAGCCGTCTTGACTCGCCTGGCCGTTTGAAACCGATTGGCCGTTTAAAACCCGCCTGCTTGTTTTAACCCGCCCGGTCATCTGAACCCGCCTGGGCGTGTTGACCCGCCTGGCAGTTCTAACACGCCTGGCCGTCTTGAGTCGCTCCCTGGGGCTGTCCCTCGCGAAATCTGCATTTTGGGAAAGACCGAGACCAAGACAACGTCGACAACATCTCACGCTTGTGAGGATGTCCCTGGCGAAGTTGCCATGGTGGACAAGAGCGATGCCAAAACGACGTCGACAACATCGCGTGTTTTGAGGATGTCCCCAGCCACATCTCAATGTTTGGCAACATCGATACGAAGAAGACGTCGACAGCATCTCATTTGTGTGAGGATGGCCTCAGCGAGAACGCCATTTTGGGCAAAAGCGATGCCGCCCAAATAGCATTGTTGTGAGGATGTCCCCAGCAAAATCGCGATTTGGGGCAAGACCGAAACCAAGAAGACGACAAAATCTCATTGTGTGAAGATGTCCCTGGCGAAATCGCCATTTTGGGCAAGAACGACGTCGCCCACACTTCATTGTCGGGAGGATCTCCCCCCAACCAACGGCAATCCCTGGGACTGCGTCGGGCGTGTTAGAGCTACCGTGTTGGGCTACGGTAGAAGGAAACAATTAGTGAACACCCCCCCTGCCCCCCAAACTCAAAGTTGGCACGCGGGGGGGAGACTGCGGTCGAGGTGCAACTCATCAGACCCACCGTCAACTTTGAACATTGGGGGGAGGGGGAGGCGTTCACAGATGAATGTGGCATGAGTGTTCGCTATTTTCTTCCGAGGCCTGTATATTGGGCCGTCTTGAGGCCTTCCGAGGGCGATCCCAACACATTTCAGATTGCTCAAGATGTCCCCTGCAAAATCGCCATGTTGGCTATTGGATCCCTGGGAACACACATGCCGATCCCCTCAATCTTCTCCTGTTTCAAATTCTTCCGGCTAACGGATCGCTCGCTCAGCGCGCTTTCTGTCATCCCTGGGGCCGGAGCTGCCAAACCCATCAAACTCACGCTAGTTTCATTTCTTCCGACCAACGGTTTGCGCTCTAAGAGCGCTTTCTGTCATCCCTAGGGCCGGAGCTGCCAAACCCCTCAAACACACGCTAAGTTCATTTCTTCCGACCAACGGATTGCGCTCTGAGCGCGCTTTCCGTCATCCCTGGGGCCGGAGCTGCCAAACCCCTCAAACACATGCTAATTTCATTTCTTCCGACCAACGGATTGCGCTCTGAGCGCGCTTTCCGTCATCCCTGGGGCCGGAGCTGCCAAACCCTTCAAACTCACGCTAGTTGCATTTCTGCCGACCAGCGGATTTCGCTTTAAGCGCGCTTTCCGTCATCCCTGGGGCCGGAGCTGCCAAACCCGTCAAACTCACGCTAATTTCATTTCTTCCGACCAACGGATTGCGCTCTAAGCGCGCTTTCCGTCATCCCTGGGGCCGGAGCTGCCAAACCCTTCAAACCCACGCTAGTTTCATGTTTTCCGACCAACGGATCGCGCTCTAAGCGCGCTTTCCGTCATCCCTGGGGCCGGAGCTGCCAAATCCTTCAAACTCACGCTAATTGCAGTTCTTCCGACCAAAGGATTGCGCTCTAAGCGCGCTTTCCGTCATCCCTGGGGCGGGAGCTGCCAAACCCGTCAAACTCACGCTAATTTCATTTCTTCCGACCAACGGATTGCGCTCTAAGCGCGCTTTCCGTCATCCCTGGGGCTGGAGCTGCCAAACCCCTCAAACCCACGCTAGTTTCATGTCTTCCGACCAACGGATTGCGCTCTAAGCGCGCTTTCCGTCATCTCTGGGGCTGGAGCTGCCAAACCCCTCAAACCCACGCTAGTTTCATGTCTTCCGACCAACGGATTGCACTCTAAGCGCGCTTTCCGTCATCCTTGGGGCCGGAGCGGCCAAACCCGTCAAACTCACGCTAATTTCATTTCTTCCGACCAACGGATTGCGCTCTAAGCGCGCTTTCTGTCATCCCTAGGGCCGGAGCTGCCAAACCCTTCAAACTCACGCTAGTTTCATGTCTTCCGACCAACGGATCGCGCTCTAAGCGCGCTTTCCGTCATCCCTGGGGCTGGAGACAAATCGCACGCTGTGCGCGCTTTCCGCCATCCCCCGCCAACGTATCCTGCGACGGGGTGGTTGGCGTGCCTGACGTGGAATATTCTTGTTCCCTTCCAAAGGTTCCCAGCGGACTTCGGCACGAGCCGCCGCCATCACAAAAACAGTGCACGCCATCGGCGTTTCCGCCCAAGGTGGCTCCAAGGCGGGCTCCCAAATGGCCTCCAGGACAGCCAAGATGGCGAAATACAGCCTCCGAGATGGTCCAAGATACTATCTAAGTCGGCCGAAATGGCCAAATGTGGCCCAAGACGGCCCAAGAGACCTTCAAGACGCCGTAAGAGGCTTCCAAGAGGACCCCCAAGAGCTCCAAGCTGGCTCCAAGACAGCCATCAAGAGGACCCCAAGGCGGTCCACTATACATCCAATACGGCCAAGATGGCCTCCAAATCGGCGAAGATGGCCCTATACGAACTTCAAGACGGTTCAGGATACCCTCCAAGATGGCGACTATGGCCCAAGATGGCCCCAAGACGGCCTCACGATGCCACCAAGAGGCCCTCAAGAACCCTCCAATTGGCTCCCAAGAGGCCCCCAGGAGGCTCCAAGATGCACCTAAAAAGACCTGCAAGGCCCCCAAGAGGCTACCCCCTCGTCCGCTTCCTCCTCCTCCCCTCCTCCTCCTCCTGCTTATCCTCCTCGTCCTCCTCCTCTTCAGCCTCCTCCCTTCTCCTGCCACTCCTCCTCCTGCTCCTCCTCCTCCTCCTCCTCTTCCTCCTCCTCCTGATACTCCCCTTCCTCTTCCTCCTCATCTTCCTCCTCCTCCTCCTCCTCCTCCTCCTCCTCCTCCTCCTCCTCCTCCCCCTCCTCCCTTCTGCTCCTTCCCCTATTCCTCCCCGAAGTGTTCGCCCAAGGATTTCCACCGCGGCTGGGGGCCCACATAGTACAATAGCGTGGCCGAGCCTTGGCCCACATATGCCCACATGAAAGCTTCCGGAAAGGCAAGGGCTGGCGGTGACTCACCGTGAGCGTCTTCGATGCTTGCCCCACAATCCCAAACCCTACTGCACAGCTCATCGTTGGCTATTTTGCTGGAATGCCATTAATATGCTTCGTCATATGCAGTGCACTAGCTCGGAGTACGCATTGACATTATGTATAGTATATTTGATTTGGCGCACTCGGATGGATTAGGCTCATCGGTGCTCCTACATGTGAGCTCTGGTCGTACTTCATGTGCCACGTTTGGGCGGTAGAGCTTCACGACCCTATACTGTCCTGCGTGGGTGGTCGCATGCGTGCGAGGTCTTTTCCGATCTCATCTCTTGCGGAAGGGTCGTGCCGTCGAGGGACGCCACTCATCTGGAGCAGATTCACCTGGCGAGAATCTCAATGTTCATCGATGGCTCGTTCTGACAAATGTGGCGCGGATCGTGTGGGCCTATCAGCGGCTTGGGAATGTCGGTGCCCACGTGGGAACGGAATTGACAGGTAGCGCCCAGGTAGGAGCGTCGACCGCTGCGCGCGCAAACCCTGGCCTTGGCCGCCGAGGGATCTTGCACCTGCCCGTGTTCTGCGTCTGGCCATCAAGTTCGCTGCCGAACGCGGCACTGGACACCACATCGAATGCGGGGGCTGGTGGTGGCGCCAACATGACCCAGCCACAGGGGTGAGGGTATGCTGGCCAATCCTGGGCATCTCCCTAGTGTGACAGCGCCGTTTGGAGCAGGTCAGGAAGCCATCCGGGGGCCGAGCGCTCTGGCACGCTGCCCTGGCCCGGTGCCCAAGGCTCTATCGTGCCCTCGTGTGAGAGGGGGGACGGAAGGGGGGGGGGCGACTGGCGCAGGAGAGGACACGTCGAGCTTGAATCGGCGATACACCGACGATAGATCGACAAGCCGAGCGTTCCTGTGCGGGGTGGTCTATCAGGCCGCTAGGGCGGCTGGGGGTCGATGCTTCCCCCCCGGTCCATCCCTCCCTGCACGTCGGTCGGAAGCAGCAGGTAAAAACAGGAAGTAGGAAGGCTCAAGAAGCAGAGTGGATCCAGGCCCCCCCAGAGAACTACGAAGCACAGGAGAAGCAGATCGATTCCTGACGTCGGAGGGCGCTTGAGGCAGACTGGGACCTGGAAACCCAGAGATACCTACTTTCGACGACTGGCGTGTCTCGCTGCCCCTCATCCTGAGGCTGAAGGCCCCAGGACACACAAATAAATACATACACGCAAACACAAGTATTCCCCATAGTTTCCCATATTTTGGGGGGCTGCTGTCCTCCCCCCCACTTCCCACATTTTCCCACACTTTCCAGGGGATCGACGATTCATTGTGTCTCTGTGTCTTTGCCCCTCCTGAGAGGCCCCCGGGGCCCCCCACCGCCGCCTGGTCGGTGAAGTACCAGCCCAGCGGGCTGTGGCCCCGGAACACGCACACCTCGGGGATCTGCACCGGCAGGCCGACGCCCTGGGGGCGCGGGAGAGGCCCTCGAGGCCGGGGCCGCTCGCAAAAAGCTGCCCCGGCCACCTCGCATGGCCGAGTCTGGAACACCTCCTCCTCCTCCTCCTCCTCCTCCTCCTCCTCCTCCTCCTCCTCCTCCTCCTCCTCCCACTCCTCCTCCTCCTCCTCCTCCTCCTCCCCTCCTCCTCCCCGCCTCCTCCTCCTCCTCCTCCTCCTCCTCCTCTCTCCTCCCCCTCCTCCTCCTCCTCCTCCTCCCTCCTCCCTCCTCCTCCTCCTCCTCCTCCTCCTCCTCCTCTCCTCCTCCTCCTCCTCCTCCTCCTCCTCCTCCTCCTCCTCCTCCTTATCCTCCTCCTCCTCCTCCTCCTCCTCCTCCCTCCTCCTCCCCCTCCTCCTCCTCCTCCTCCTCCTCCTCCTCCTCCTCCTCCTCCTCCTCCTCCTCCTCCTCCTCCTCCTCTCCCTCCTCCTCCTCCTCCTCCCCTCCTCCTCCTCCTCCTCCTCCTCCTCCTCCTCCTCCTCCTCCTCCTCCTCCTCCTCCTCCTCCTCCTCCTCCTCCTCCTCCTCCTCCTCCTCCTCCTCCTCCTACTCCCTCCTCCTCCTCCTCCCCCTCCTCCCTCCTCCTCCTCCTCCTCCGCCACCGCTGCCCCGATTCTGGAACACCTGAACTCAAAGCCGTTGCCATCTCTTTAGGGGCGCTTCTTTTACTTCCGCCGGCCTCCGCCGGCCTTCCGCCGGCTTCTGCTCGTGGAGCTGCCCTCGTTTCGTTTCCGCCGCCCTCCGCCAGCCTTCCGCCAGCCTTCCGCCGAGAGAGAGAGAGATGCCAACTCCTTCGATCCTCGAAGGTGAGGCCGTTGCTGAAACGCCTCACTTCGGAGCATGGCTCCAGCCGTAACGGCCGTCGTTCAAATGGAAGATCGGCCTCGAGCAGACCACGGCCTGGATGAGATCACGGCCCCGAGCTCTCCTGATCGGATCGCGGCCCCGACTGGGGCCTTGACCAGGCCAGAAATACGGCACGGCTGGGCCGGCTACACGACTCGCCAACATGCGGCCATCGATCGCGATGGTCGCAATCGGAGGATCACGCGGTCGGTAATTAGACCCGCGCTGCGGGACCGACACGCGAGTCGAGGCGAGAGGACTCACCCCTTGAGATAAACAGAGGGCGGACGAGACAATTGAGCACACAATCATTGGCATCGCCTTCGGAGGGCTCCAAGAGCCAGCAGCCGCGCGTCGGTGCGAACTCCCACAAAAGTGCAAACCAAGACTCATCAATAGTGTTGGAAAAACCCTCCATCCAAGCTCCTTCTTCGTAGGCACTCACAAAGATTCATTTCCACTCAGGGAAAGTGCCCTGTTGGGAGACAACCGTTTGAAGATCTCGAAGCGTGCCGAAACACCGTTCTGGGGACCCCAACGTCACGAATCAACCTGACTGTTGGGTCTTGACGATCCTGAATCGCGCCAGACCCAGAACACCACTCCTAGGACTTCAATCAAACTTTCGTAACAATACTGCTGCGCCCTGACGATCCAGAATCGTTCCAAAACACCACTTCTGGTACGCTGACCATGGGAATCTGTGAAACTCTTGCAACTATTAGAAGCGTTTGTGCGCGGCGCGGAGGCGAGAACCACATTTTGAAAAGGAGCCGTCCTCAATCCGTGAAGCTCGTGCAAATGGAGGAGGAGGAGGAGGAGGAGGAGGAGGAGGAGGAGGAGGAGGGAGGAGTGGAGGAGGGAGGGGGAGGAGGCAACGGGAGGAGGAGACGGGAGGGAGGAAGACGGGAAAGGGGAGACGGAGGAGAGGTAGGAGGAGGAGGATGGGTATAGTTAGGCTGAGACGAGGAAAGGAGGAGGAGGAGGAGGAGGAGGAGGAGGAGGACACACCCTGACCACGACGACGATCAAGGCCCTCGCCGCGTGCAGAAACAGCCAGGAGCTTTCACGATCCGGGCGCCCCCCCCCCTAGACGAGCGCCTTCCACTACCCGCAAGAGCAGCTACTTGCAAGTGGCCCGGATCCGCCGCGGGGGGTCTACGATAAATGATGACGAAGCAGACATGTGGATTTTGGATTTCGGGCGACTGCGAGTAGCACTTTGCGAGCAGTGGAACGCGCTCGGCGCTCGGTGACCCCCGCTGCGCGCCCTCTGCGGTCCTCGCGCTGCCCTACAGGCACGCAGAAAGAGGAGCGACGGGGCTTCTCTGGTCACGGCCGGCCTACGCCACGAGCCGGGCCCCTGGCGTAGTACCGATCTCAGCCACTCTTAGCTGGCGACGCGTTTCGGACTCTAGGTCCTAGGTCCTCTTCTGGGCCAGAAGGCTGCGGTGTCCCACGCGCGTGCCGCGCAGCGCGCGAGCAAGGCAGCAGGAGGTCAAGAGTGCGGGGGTGAAACAACCTGGCTGCCCACCCACCCTACCTAGGGCCCGGAGCCAGAGCGCCTCCTGAGCCCGAGGCAGGTCCTCATGTCGGCGTCTTGTCAAGGGGCCCAAGGACACACAAATAAACACACACAAATAACAATGTTCCCCATATTTTCCTATATTTTCTAGGTTTTTGTCTTCCCCACCATTTCCCATATTTCCTCATATTTTCTGGGGGATCGACGATTCATTGTGTCTGTGCGTTTCTTTCCCTCTTGATCTTGGCTGCACCGGGAGGAGCGAGACACGTGCACCGAGCACAGCTCTTCGGGTGGCCCCCGCGGATGTCTGGGATATAGGTGCCGAGCCCCCTCCGGGGGCGGCGCCAGGGGCGGCGCCCGAGGCGCCGCCAGGGGGGAATCCGGGCGCCGAGCGCGGAGCTCCGAAAGTCTGTGCTTCTGTAGCTGCCTCTTCTTCGGGCGGTGGACTACCTCGGCTCACGGGCCTTCGCCCCCAAGGCGCCTGCGCCGCGGCCCGCCGGGGGCCATCTCTCCTGCGGCGCGGGGATTGCGGAGGCCTGACCGAGTGCGGCAGGTTCGTGTCGTGCCGGCTTCGGCACGGGCGTCGAACGCCGCGGGGATCGTTCGGCCTCGAGCGATCGGCCGTTTCCGAAGCGTCAGAGCGTGCAACATGGACCGACTCCGTGGGTCGCCGTCGGCGCTCCACGTGGAGCGCCAGGGGCGGGTATAGGGGGCGGGGTCTCCGCCGGTCGACGCGACTCGAGCCTGCCGTGCCGTTTCTTGTTTTTCGAGCGTGCACCGAAAACGGAACAAAACATCTGTCCAGGAAATGTCCAGGAAATGCCCCGCTTCGCCGTCGCTTACCCCCCCAAGCCTGGACTCTCCATGCAGCCGCGACAAATGACACAAGGCAGCTCTTTCTGCTTCAGACTCCCTCCGGGCCCGAATCCCCCACACAGAGGGAACAACCGCGCAACCGCGACGAATTGCACAGCACAGTTCTGTTTCGAAGGGAGCAAGCGCGCAACCGCGACGAGGTCTCTGGCCCAAGACCCAGGCGCGGTAGCGGGGTGGGCTGAAGGCAATCATACAAACAACCGATGAAAACTCGTGATAAGAGCTCCAACATACTCGAATGGCCCCCCAGGGCCTCCCAAAGCTTCCCGGAAAGCCCGTAGATGCGCCAAAGCAAAGGCCGGCAAAACAGCAAGCAAGCAAAACCCCCTGGCACCCTTACCCCCTTCCAAAGCAAAGCAGCAAGCAAGCAGGCGGCTGGCCAGACCCTTGAGCCTTCAAGACTGAGTGGCCTCCCCGATGAGTGCCATGAGTCGACGACTCCGAAGGGTGTGGTTTGCTAAGGGTGTGGTTTGCAGCCCGCACCCTGGGCGGCACCCTGTGGGCGGGCGGGGACCTCCACAAAGCTCTCCGCCGCGCCCCGAGGAGGCCCGACGAGGACAACGTCGTGCTCCCCAGGCCCCAACGGCGCCGATCGCAAACCACACCCTGGCGGGATCCTGGACCCTTTGGGCTCCCTCCCCCCAACCGTTTCCTGGCGGCCCCTGGTCCCGCGGCCCGTGGGCCGACAGCGCAGGGAACCCCAGGACGCGTCTGCCTCGGGACCCCTCCCCTGCATGGCGAGCCATGAGGGAGCCACGCCCTGCCGTCGCTCGGACGCCCATTTCCCGTGCATTGTCCGGTTTCGTGCGTGGTTTTTTGGGGCTCGATGGTCCAGGATGGTCCTCGATGGTCCTCGCCGAGAACGAGATGCACACGTCGTGCGTGTTTTTTTTTTTGGCTCGATGGTCCAGGATGGTCCTCGATGGCTCCCGCCGAGAAAAAAAAGGCACGCGTCCGAGCGATGCCAAGGCGCCCTGTGCAGTCGACGCCCCGCGGCGCCAGGGCCCCGCCCCCGCGGGAGGCCAGGGAGGGCGGCGCGGAAGGGCCGCACGGGGGGCGGCCCGCCGGGGGGCCCGCCGAGGAGCGGGCCTTGCCGGGCGCGCAGAGGCAGCCCCAGAAGCCGACGTCCATGGGCGGCCGCGGGTCGCCCGCCTCCTCGCGGCTACATGTAAGGCGGGAGGGGGATTTTCGACGGAAAAAGTACCCCAAATATGCCCCAAAGAGGCCAACAGATACTCAAAACATAGTCCCCTGACTATTTTTGACATATCTTGCTGACATTTTTGGGGGGTATGTTTCATTTTTCGTCGAAAATCCCCCTGTAGGGGGACAGGCCCGACTTGAGGCTCCATGCGCGAACCCTCAGATCCGGGCGTTGCAGTCTCTTTCAGCGCCGGGCGTCTTCGCCAGAGCTCTCGGGCCCCGCGGCCCTCGCAGAGCGATCCGGCTCGAACAATTCCTCCAGATTTCGTAGTAATCAAAGGGAGGGGGTCTCAACCCTCCCAGACGAGAAGTTTTGGACCCCCCCCGTGGGAGAACCCTCCAAAACGTCGTCCCCAGACCCCCCCAGGCCCTCCAGGATAGCCTGGAAGAGAGACCCCCCCCCCCGAAATGAGACCCCCCTCCCTTTATTACGAGATCTGGAGTGCGCAGGAAGATGGGTTCTGGGGTTCCTGCAGTCTTTTTCTTGTTGGCGATGTTGCAGTGGTTGGCCGCAGCGTCGGACCTCAGGGCCCCAGTGGCCCTGGGCGAGAGCGGCCCTCTGGTGCGCGGCTTGATCGGCGGTGGACAGACCGCCCTCTGGCAGACCTCCCCTCAGTGAGAACGGCCTGGGGCCGAGACCGACGGACCTGGGCCCGCAAAAGTGACGGCAGCGACGCCCTCGCGCGAATCGAAAACGGCCGATTCCTGAATCGACGCGTCAGGGTAGGAGGTCTATCCACCTCCGAAATGAGAGGCGGGGAGGAGGAGGAGGAGGAGGAGGAGGAGGAGGAGGAGACGGGAGGAGGAGACGGGAGGAGGAGACGGGAGGAGGAGACGGGAGG